TAAAATAAATAAGTAAATAAATAAATATATATATATATATATATATATATATTCTCTATATCTAAATACTCCCGTTTATATAAAAAGATTATATATCTAAATATTTTCTCAGTATCGAATATACTAAATTTTTTTATATAAAAAATTATCTTTTGTTTCTATATTTTCGTTTTTACATTTTTTTTATAATGATTGAGATATTTGATCCATTTGGATAGCCAAGATATATTCGATCTTGTATAATTGGTGTGCTTCTAAAAATAATAATATAATTTTATTGATTTTGTCTCTTATCCATAATTATTTATATAACTGGTTTTCAACATATATTATTTTAATAATTCAAATGGGAGATTCACATGGAAATAATAAAGAAAAAGGAAAAGAGAAAGAAAACTATGAAGCTTGGACCAAGGAGGATTCCGATGAATTGTTACAATTGATAGTGGATGCTATAAAAAGATGATAGAATATTATGGAGAATTATTATTATTATTTATCTAGACATTATTGTTTTTTTTAATTATTTTTATCTTTGACTCTTTTTAAATTTGAATGTAATTTTTTTTTAAATCTTATCAAATGTCAAAACTCCACAAAATCCCACAGAATCCATTAAAATCCTGATTTAAAAGTCTTGTAGAATCCATTAAAATCCTGATTTTAAATCTTGTAGAATCCTGCAAAATCTTAAAAGTCATGAAAATCCTGCAAAGTCTTTTAAAATCCGCAGGATTCTTTTTCACTAAAAAAGTCCTTTAAAATCATAATCCAATACACCCCCTTAGTATTTACTAAGCTATATATATATATATATGAAGTTTTTGAGTTATTAATTTCTACTACTTTTATTTAGCTGAATTGATCTTTACAGCTGGGAACTATTTTGAAGAATTGGTGGATAATACAGAATTTAATTTATCAACTTATTGACTACTAATTAAGGCTGGTTTACAATAGATGAAACTCATTTTGAGGCCGAAATCTGCAGTCAGCATATTAGCAAATTCTTCTGAGACAATTTTCATAAAATTAATGGACAGACAGACAACATTTAACTTTACCTATGACTGCGTGGGGTTTCAATAAGGTTAATAACAATAATTATTGAGCAACGATATAATCACCATTCCATTCGGGGTTTCAATAAGGTTAATAACATTAATTATTGAGCAACGACATAATCACAATTCCATTCGACATCTTTAGTAACATTCGCATATTTACATTTATTAAAATATTATTATAGATTAAGGGGAGTGTATTGGTTTAGGATTTCGTAGGATTTTAAAAGACTTTTTTTGAGTAAAAAAGTCCATTGGTATTCAATCAGGATTTTCAAGATTTTTTAAAGAATCCATTAAAATCCACTGGTATTCATTTGAGATTTTTTACAACTTAAAAACAATCCATTGGTATTCAAAAATATAAGGATTTTAAAGGATTGTTGTGTGAGAGAGATTTTGAAGGACTTTCTAGTGTTATCTATAAATACCATATTCATAAAACAATCCCATCCAAACCCAACGGATTTTGAAGGATTGTTTGAAGTGATTTTTCTATTGTTCATTGCTCATACATAATATTGTAGGACTGTTCTCATCCCATTCTCCTATTTTATGAAACTCTGATATGTAAATGATAGTGTCATTGACTTGCTCTATTTTTCTGTTCGTTCTCTTTAATTGACTTGCTTTATTTTATTCTATGTAGTTGAATTTGTTTCTTTATATAACAAAAAAATGCTTGAAATTTCAAGTTTTAAGTGGTAATGTTTTTATAACACACGTCAAGAAAAGAAAAAGGTGAAAGATGAAATTGATATCATAATCTCTAAATATATATATATATATATATAAGATGAATTTGTTAGGGTTTCTGTGAGTAAAATGAGATGAAAATGGATCTTAGTTGGGGGAAGAACCCTCCCAGCATAAAAACTGCGAACTCTCTCATTCCCTTGAATTTGTTACTCTTATCCCTCCTTTTATGACTCAACAATTATTTTATTTTTTTTGCTATGAATTTTTCTTTTTATTTTTATATTGTGAAATTAAGATTTTTTTTATATTTTTAAAAAAGAAAATTAACATAAGACATTGCAGTATCTAATTTTTTAGGGTTTAGGATTTGTCTTCATTAGCTTATTTTTTAAAAAATAAAATATTGTTAAAATATTTGTTAGAATAATTTACATTTATAAATATCGTTAAAAATTATCATATAATATATAACTAAAATAAATAGCTTGGACCAAGGAGGATTTCAATGAATTGTTACAATTGATAGTGGATGCTATAAAAAGATGATAGAATATTATGGAGAATTATTATTATTATTTATCTAGAGATTATTGTTTTTTTAATTATTTTTATCTTTGACTCTTTTTAAATTTGAATGTATGAATTTTTTTTTAAATTTTATCAAATGTCAAAACTCCATAAAATCCCACAAAATCCATTAAAATCTTGATTTAAAAGTCTTATAGAATCCATTAAAATCCTGATTTTAAATCTTGTAGAATCCTGCAAAATCTTAAAAGTCATGAAAATCCTGCAAAGTCTTTTAAAATCCGCAGGATTTTTTTTTACTAAAAAAGTCCTTTAAAATCCTAATCCAATACACCCCCTAAGTTAATAAGTTATTATAATATTTTTTTTAGAAAATGTTATTATTAATAGAGTAATATTTTTTTAGCCTAATATTTTTTTTATCAATGTCTTTCAAAATTAAGTCCTACAATGATATATAAAAAACATATTTATCTTATCTTTAATTGTTTCTCAAAATTGAAGTCAAACATCGATTTAAAAATTGAGACATAAATAGTATATATAATTATAGAGTAAAATCTTAATTTGATATATGATTTAAATTTGGTATTGACTAACTTAAAATATTTTCTCTTGTTAAAAAAAATTTAAAATATCTTAAATTCTAAAAAATTTGTAGATAAAAATTATAAAATATAAGTAATGATACAATCTAATTATTATTTTATAAATTTGACAAAAGTTTAGAAATATTATTAAAATGTTACAAAATACTATTTTGGTAACATTTTAAAAATGTTATCATTAATAGGTAAAATATTGTTAAAAATATTTAATAACATAAATTTTATCTTATATTTAATAAAATGTCACAAAAATATATTAATAATATTTACTCATAATTTAGTAATATTTTTCTAATGTTAGTAAAATACATTTTGTTGTATTAAATTATCTCTTTATCCAACGCTGTTTTGATGGGGGTAAGCTTATGGAAGAGAAGAAATCGCAAAAGCTGGTTTAGTGGGCAAGAAATGGTGGTGTGACCAAATGTATGGCATCTAAACTAAAAAACTTCCATACATAAATGTGAAGAAATGAGAGGCTGCGCTGCCACATAATCAATTATGTTTTCTTTTAAGGTTTTACACTATCTAAAAACAACATAATCGATTATGTTATGTTGTGTGTTTTTTCAGACTATTTATGACCCAGTGATTAACGCCTCTCTTCCCTTTCTCACATAATTGATTATTTTTTATTTAATTAATCTTAAGTAATTCATTATTCGTCTAAACCAATAATTTCTCAAAAAGTTTGCTTCTATCTTATTTCTCTTTAACTAAATTTAATTTATTAACCGCTATTTTACTTTATTATTTATTTATTTCTCTTTTTTACATACTTTTTCTCCGTCTATTTTCTTTCTCTCTATTAAAGAATATGTAAGTTTGAAACTGATTGCGAGGAAAGTACACTGTCTGGGTTTTAATCCTGCGAAAAAGGGTAGTGTAAAGCTAAGAAAAATATAGGGGGAATTACTAACGAAAGCCAATGATATTATATATGATTCATATAAACCAACTTCACTTTTGTGGGATAAGGCCATTATTGTTGGTGGTGTTACGAATTAATAAACATACCTGCTTGTCTGCTATTGGAATGATTAATAGAAAGGAGAAAGAGGAAAATTGCAAAAATTAAACACTGTATCAATATTATGTTTAAGGAAAATACTTTGAATATGGAACTAACATGGGTTTCATATGTATTCCTGAAATCTGGGTGGAATGCTTATGACAAGTAGTGCGGTATAGTGTCCTTCCATGTATTTCCCAAACAAGATAAAAGTGCAGTTATGATTGATGATTTACTAACTAAAGGTTGAGATTGTGATAAATAGTAGTACTATGTACATGTATATATAACTTTATATTGTTGTTAAAATATTAACCATTAAATTTTAATTAATACTTATAATGTGATTCGCCTCTAAAGTGCACCTCCCTGAGCTAACCTTGTAATTATATGATATGATAATCCTTTTCCTACTTATCTAGCTTTCTGAATAAATTCCATTTCATTCTCAATTTTAATATTTCAAGCAAGAGTCGTATTCACAATCTGCAGAGCACTCTAACTAGTACATCAACTATGTGAATCCCATTGTAATGAATAAATATTTCAAAGGGAAAGAAGCTGCTACTATAATATAATTATGTTGCTCTATCGGACCCTTATAAGAAGAAGTTAGCTCCGGTTCCCTTCTCTTCGCTGCAACAAAATGCTACAATAATTGAGACATTTATTTTTCAAATATTTTACTTTAGTTCTCTTAATCTCTCTCATAATTAATATATTTATTAAATGTTGATGCTTTTTTTTTGCTGAAATTTTGGATGGGATCAACACGTGTTATGACCTCGGGTGAAAATTGGCATAAGCCAATTCAAATTTAAGTACACGTACCATCTCACCAAAGATCTGTTGCTACAATTTCTCACATGTTGCTTTCACAACTAATTATGTAACTACTTTCTGATTAAATTCACAGCTAATCGAGATTATCTCCTCTTATTAAAATCAAGTAGCCCGATTAATTATTATAGTTTCATCCGTAGATGTTGCTCCTTAATTTTAATACTAACTCATGAACAAAAGTAGTTGTAAAAATTATAACTAGATATGGGTTAGTTAGCCACGCAATCTAGCCAAAATGTTGAACTCTGCGCCATCCCAGGGATGTGACTTCCCCGGACACTCCTATGAATATGCAATCATCTGAATTCTGAACCACTAGCATATATTTTAGTGATTTTGAAATGTAGCTACATTGCCTTTGATTGAGAAATATTGGATAATTTAAAGCAGAAAGTTGACAAACTTTCCCGTTGAAGTCTCAAACCAAGCTGTATTCTATGTGTGATTCAACCTTTGTGGCGACCCCAGAACTCAATCTTTTGTCTAAATTGCAAAGTAACCGTGCTGATGAAATTATATGGTATACCCTTTGAAGAATGTTGGTCATAGAACATGGGACAAACGAGTTACTTTCAAAGTCTCTCTTTTCACACACCTATGTGTTATTATATTACAGGATTTGTCCCTATCTGCATGACCAAGCAGCATGTATATATAGACACCAAGCACAGTGGTTTCAAGCTTACAGCTATTGTGATCGATAATATCGGTACCTGATTGATACATTTCCTAGGTTGTTCCTCCGGTGGCATCATACACTTTCATGTTCATGGGCAAAGATGCTAATTCAGAAATCCAACTCCCTCCTGGATTTAGATTCCACCCTTCTGACGAGGAGTTAATTGTTCACTACCTGAGAAACAAAGTGACATCATCACCCCTTCCTGCTTCATTCATAGCAGAAATAGATCTTTACAAGTATAATCCATGGGAGCTCACAAGTCTGTGTTAGCAATCAATAGCACTGATTTAGTTTGTTTCATTATTTTCTTAAAATACTCGCCTAGTAAGGCTTTTGTTATTATTATTATTTTGATTATCTTGAAGGACTAGTTGGGTTTGTTTAAATACAAATTCAGAAGAATTTTTGAGAGTTTCTTTGTTTGAAAAAGCTCTTTATTTTTTATGGAGAAACTTTCAAAAATTGTTTATATAGACTCTTAGTTACTAAAGGAATGATGGTTTTTCATTTTTAACAGGCAAAGCTTTGTTTGGGGAGGATGAATGGTATTTCTTTACTCCTAGGGACAGGAAGTATCCCAATGGAGTGAGGCCTAATAGAGCAGCTGCTTCAGGTTATTGGAAGGCTACTGGAACTGACAAACCCATTTTCACTTCTTGTGGGATGAAGAGCATTGGAGTGAAGAAGGCCCTTGTCTTCTACAAGGGTCGTCCTCCAAAAGGATCTAAAACAGACTGGATCATGCATGAGTATCGGTTGCATGATTCCATGATCTCCAATAAAAAGCAAAGAGGGTCCATGAGAGTAGGTCAATTGCATGAGTTCAATTTTTCAAATTGGTGGATTTTTTTTAAGGCCATAGTGATAGTATAAAGTTTTGACAATTTCTTGTTTCTGTTTTTGTTTTTCTCCTTGTGCTTCAGCTTGATGAGTGGGTGCTGTGCCGGGTTAGACAAAAGACTATCAACCCAAGAAGCATTTGGGAAGACTCAAATGAAGTTGTTTATGAACCAACAAGCCACTTTCAACAACTGAGTGAGAACTCAAATCCTGAACCAGACAAAAACACTCTGCAGAATGAACATCCAATGTTACCTTATATTCTGGCTTCTAAGAGTGCTACGCCTAATTCTATTGGCATGGCCTCAAGCTCGGGCTTTGGTTGTAATGATGAATTAAAAACATATGCTTCATTGCTTGATGACAATTTGAATATAATAATTGGAGCACAGTTCATGGCACCTGTAGCTGAGGGCTTGTTCAATCCACTGAAGAGAAAAAACATTGAGGAAAATGAGTTGGACCTGTATGCTCCTCTCGATAAAAAACTAAGGGAAGAAGTTGATGTTGGGAAACAAAGACTTGAGAAAGATGAAAACAAAGGGTTCAATTTCAATAACTTTGACCAGTGGAGTTCCATCATACAACCTCAAGAGCTTAATAGCTTAGCCTTTACGAAATATACGTGAATATATATGTAGTTTAGGTGCATGTACGTGCTTGTTTGTGTGCATACGTATATAGAACCTAGGAGCTCTTTCTGCATGGGATGGGGGGAATAGTGAATTCTATATATGTAAATAAGAACGAAAGCATTCTGTTAGTGAAGTGTGTGACTATTCTTTTCAGTAAGCAGAAATGTACAAAGCTGAAAAGGTAGGGTTATAGGATATTATTTCAGCTGTGGGTATAGGTACTGGATATATATATGAGAGAGAGAATAAAGTGGCATCATAGTGGAATTGAATTGGTGATTCATGATTGTATGATGCTTTGAAATTAATTATGGAAATTGAAGTATTTACTGTAAATCCTTTCTATTTTCATGACTAAAAATGTTACTTGTAAATAGTGAAAATCCCCTGCACTAAAAAACTAGCGTTTTTAAAAATCATATTGTGAAGGCTTTTTGGATTTGTGTCGCTTAGTTACGGAATCAAACTAACAACATAATTGTAGAAGAATCCAGCCACCAAAACAAGACAAAAGATCTGATTATAAACTTGTTTATTAAAGTAGTTTAATTTTAAAATAGTTTATTAAAGTAGGTCACATAATTTATAAACCAGTTTATTTTATTAAAATGGTGTGGTGTAATTTAGTGCAGTTTTTTTTTTAACTAAACCATGCACCCCTATATTTGCAATTACTTGTTTAATTTTATTAATTTTAATTGAACCGACAAATTTTAAACGTAATAATTCAAATTAATGACTTTCTAAATTAAATAACTTCTAAATTTTTTTGGAGTACAAAACAATTTTGAATTATACTCAATTCACCTACTCATTAGTTATTCATATTGTGTTTGAATAATAAATTTTAAAAGAGTAGTTTATTCATTTATATGAATTTGAAATACTTTTGAGTAAAATCTCTTGTTTGGATAAAAAATTTATTAAAAAATCTCTCTCTTTCTTTTCTTTTATCCTCCTTTTTTTTCATACATACATATATATACATACATATATATATATATATGTGTGTGTGTGTGTGTGAGATGAGAGATCTGTTTACTCTAAGAGTAAGTTTATCTAAACTTATTCCGTTCAATAACTCATGTTTTATATCAAATTTCAATGATCCAACCGTTGAATTTAAAGTTCTTAATATATAGATCAAGTCTATAAATTTCTATAAAATTTGAAATTTATTTAATACTTCATTTCATTAATTCAAATTGACGGATAATCATAAAATTAATTTATACGTTGTTTTGAATTAATGAAACGAAGTATCAAATGATTTTCAAAATTTATAAAAAATTGTAGATTTGATATATGTATTAAGAACTTTAAATTCAACGGTTGAGTTGTTGAAATTTGATGTAAAACATGAGTTATTGAATAGAGTAAGTCTAACAAATTCCTTCTCTTTAAAAATTTGCAGATTTGATATATGTATTAAGAACTTTAAATTCAACTGTTGAATTGTTGAAATTTGATGTAAAACATAAGTTATTGATCGGAGTAAATCTAACGAATCCCTCCTCTCTCTCTCTCTCTCGCTCTCTCTCTCGCTCTCTCTCTCTCTCTCTAAATTATTAAATATTTATAAATAGCCTTTTATAACGTTAAATTTAAAGTTTTAATATATGTATATGTATAGAGAGTTTAAATACTTTTTTTTAAGTTTCTAAACTTTTTGAATTTTTACTTTTAGTCATTGAATAAATTTTATTTTATTATAGTCCTAAGAATTTTCTTTCATGAACAAAAATTTTTAATAGTAGAGACCAAAATCTTAACGGAAGAAAAAAAATGAAAAAATTAAAGGACTAAAATTAGTATAAAAAAAATAGAAACTAAAAGTGAGAATTAGCAAAAGTTCAAAGGTTAAACATATTTAATCACACGCACACATATATGGAATTAATTTTGTTTATAGTAGAAATTAAATTACATTATTCATATTAAGAATTTAAAGTTTTAGAAATTTAAATTGATTTGTCTAAATAAATTTGATAAAAGATGAATATTGAAATCAAAGTACTTTTATTATTATTATTATTATTATTAAAAAATAATTCAAATTTTAAGAATTTTAATTTTTTTGAATTTCTAAAATTTTTAACCCAAACCCAACTTTAGATCATTTGGTTAGAACACTAAACTAATGTATTTCTTAAATAATTAAATAAAAGGTGCTTAACTTTGCTTTTAACATTTTCACGATTTTTTCTCTTATTTACAAGTGCTACATAATCACATTGTGAGTGATATATTAATATTTTTTTAATCACCACAAAAACACCATATCATGGTAATAATATCATCTATTAACATCACATCATTTGTCACACATCATTTTAAAAAAAAAATCATTAACAAGTAACTAACAGAAAAATTAAAGGTTATATAATTGTTAAGAATACATTCCACTCAAATGAAGTTTGAGGAACCAAATTTTTATAATTATGATATTTGAGAAGTTAAAAATGCATTTCAATCAAATTATATATAAAAAGTTGTCTATATAATCAAAGGGTACACATTGTATTTTATTTTTGTTAGATATTAAAAAAAAAGGTGTAAGTTTCATTGATTACTTTTGTCTATATTAGTTGAATTTTCAAACAAGACTTTAATGTATATTAATATATGTGATAACTTTCAATTAATGCTATAATTTATTTATACCTTCATTTGAAACTTACTTTCTTTAAAATTCATTGTTTTTTCTCCCCTTCTTGAATTTTCTAGGATTTTGGATTTGTTTAAAAAGATGATCTTCTTAGTTTTGTCACCTCAACAAAATCTGAGAAGAACCGGTTAAATCTTTGTGAGCTTGTATACCTCACCAATAAGTTTTTAAGGACAAGGTGATTGACTATCACATGTTTTAGGTTATTTTGTCTATGATCAACAAAGTTTGTGGGATTGAAATTAGTGAGCAAATCATTATTTTGATTTGTGTGAGCAACGATAGCATGGATGAAAGGTAGGATCCTAATCTCGATTACACTTTTGTATGTTAATTAGGTTTTTTTGTTATTTCTCATATCTTAGTCATTTGATGATGATGAAATATTTTATTATGTTGAGATATTAAAAAAAAAATAAAAATTAGGGTGTTATTGTTTTAGTTTCAATATAAACGAAATTATTTTAAGAGTGAACATGTATTATTTAAAGTTTTATTGCAATCATATGTTATTTAGTATAAATTGTGGTGTGGGGAAAATATGACCTTTTTATTAAAATATGAGTTCATTATTGATAACTAGTTAACCACTATGTGATAGACATTATACAAGGGGTGATTAGTCTTTTGGTGTGTTTTTGTGATAAATCATACCTTTTTCCCCTTGTAATATGTGATGTTTAGTAGTGATTGTGCATTTTTTTGTGATTACAATTACAATATTGTGAAAAGGTTGCGATGATGATTAGTGTTATTTTTCATCATTTTCTAATTCCTATTCAACCTTTGTTCAATAGGTAAAATTGAGATTGATTAAAGATTCATCACTTAACAATAAGATTGATGCGAGATTAAAGTCGTAGGATGTGTTTCTCTAAACATGTTCATCTTAGATGTGGTAGAATAATTATCATAGTGGTGAAAATCAGACCGAAACAATTAGTCGTAATGGTTTGACTGAGAATTAGTTATCGACTAGTTCAATTTAACCAAAAAATCGTTCTACATTGAACCAGTAAAAATCTAGAAAAACCGGTCCTGAAACAAACAAAATCAGTTTTAACTAGTCTAATTAGTTTTTTTTAAGCTTTTTAAAAATTTAATTAAAATATCTTAATAAATATAATATTTAATACAAATTATAAATTAAAATAACTTATTTTTTTAGTATATATTATATTAATTTGATATTTTTTATTCTAAATATAAATTTATTATTATTAGTGGACATTACTATATTCTATCAGAACTTAAAAATTATATTATATATAATTTAAAATTTTACTATGTATATTAAATGATAATAATTTATAAATATAATTTTTATTTTAATATTTAGTGTTATAAAATTATAACTTATATTTATTTAATATTACTTTTGTATTGATAATAAAAATTATTATTATTTTATTAATATATGATTGAACCATTGAACTTTGAATTAACATCTATATCATTTTAATTTTAAAAACATTGATAATATTATAAAAATAGTTTAATAACATTTATCTACTAGATGAGGCACAAATTTACTAGTAGCCTAGCCTTTTTTTGTGTGGTGTGAGGACATATATAACACCACATTAATAAGAAGTTAATCTTGTAAAACTTTTGATAATTCTTACATCCTTATAAGTGCCATGTGATTTATAACATACACTTTATAAAATAATGAGTGCCAAATGAGTTCGTGTGTATAACATTGTGGCAAATGAGTTATTTGTTAAATATTAAAAATTAATTTATAAATAAATATAATAAATAACAAATAAATTATATAAGAGAATCTCTAAAATACTTTTTTAGAATAATAAATTTTAAAAATATTATCGTTTAAGATAATTGTTTATATTTAATATATAAAATTAATATGTAAATATCTTTTAATAATATTATTTTAAAATAATATTACCCTTATAATTTCGACTATTATCGACTTTAGTTTAATAAATAAAAATTTAATTAAAATAAAAAAATGTAATGATTAATTAAAAAGTAATAAGAGAGATTTTAGGTAAATTAATAGGATAAAGATAGAAACAGGAAAAAATTGATAACCAAAAAATTAAAATACTTGTTACGCTAACATGAAAATAAACTTAAATGTGTATAAAGTTTATTTTGATTAAATTTAACTCATAAGATAGTTAAACAACTTACAAGATATTAAAGTAGCTTATCAAAGACAAAAAAAGTGATTAGCTGTGAATAATTTAATATTTATCCTTTTTATATAAGTGCCAAAAAGAAATTTATGAAAATCTCAAGTATGTTGTTCAGCGGTAGGGGTTGATTCACGTTTAAGCAAGGTCAGGGGTTTGAATCCTGCCTTGTATATGCAGCGCGTTAAATCTTGGGACAGCTATCCTACCATTTGAGGTGTCTCCTTCGTAACGAAGAGATTAGTCATCGGCTAATATAATATTCTTTTAACAGTAGCATTATACATTTTTTTTTTCATTTGTATGTTTTTTTTTTATTGATATTGAATATTATTATTTTAAAATAAAAATCATGACTTGTTTTATTAAATAAGAGATAAGAATCATAATGTTTTTATAATTTTTAATAATAATTAAGACTATTAAAATTTGTGATAGTAATCTTTCTCATTCTATTATAATAAATAATATATTTTTTAAATTAAGAAAGATAAATATTTTTCGGT